GGTTCCATACTTTATATTCACCCTGTATATAGGGCTATGTATACTAATAAAAAAATGTCCCTGTATATGGGTCTCCTACACTGGCGGACATGTATTTTTTCACGATTTGTCATTCGACTGACATAAAAATGTAAAACGGGACTTAGACAACTAATCCCACTTTCGGTTTTGTAATTTTTATTCCGATAGCTAACGAAAAAATGACAAGAAATGAAACTAATTTATTGCACTTATATAAAAACACGTATTGCTGGCATTTTTGTTTCTTTCATCAGTGACACTTGTTAAATAATAAAGTTTAAATCCTAACAAATATGTAACTGAATAAAATTGTTAACTACATTATTAAATTCTACGCAAAAAGTGCCTGTATAATGGCTCTATTTCAAAACCGTATCTTCAACAAAAAGGATTTTACTAATTTAACTAATTTTATTTTAAATATTTCTTTAATTTTTCATTGAAAATTACGAATTTTGACAGTCATCATTTGATTTGCTTTTGCTTTAGTTTTTATCGAAATTCGAAGAATTTCTGTTTAATTTCTTTCAGCGAATGGTTTCCAATAGGTTTGATTCGTTTTTCTTAATTTTTCTCCAAATTTATGAACATGTATGGCAAAATATTAAAATAATAAATTGGTTGTCGTAATTTATGATTTACGGTTAAACACAAGGTAATGATACTAATGGTCATTGTTGCAGCCGAAGCAGCAGTTCTCAAACAAATAGTGTAAAATTAATAAATTCCTTTAACAACGTGAATTTATTTTACATAGCGTATTAGTTTTCTTCTACCGTAAATATCCTCTCATTTAAATTTCAACCTCTAGACCGTAAACACCCTGTATACATAGATAAAAAATATAAATTTATTTTGTTAAAACTTGCAATATTTTAATTTATAATTTTATTAATTTTTTCTTTGATTTGTTTATCAGAAATTTTTTCGATAACTATTTATCTCAGAACACTGATCTTTTCTGTATACGATAGAAAATTAAATTTTCTTTCCAATGGTACCAAACAAGCGGTTATCACCAAGAAGTCCGAAGTTATTATAAATAGACCGTTCCGGGTGCCAAAAATCGATCAAAATTTCGACAAAAATTAATTAACTTTAAAATCGATTCATATAACGTTTTTTACATTTTTAGTGATCTTAAAGACTCAAAATAGTGCACAAAATGTTATTGGGTCAAGTTTAAAAGCTTACGAATTTTTTGAGCTTGAAATATGGTTTTTTAAACGTAAAATYACCCGCTGAACACGATGCAACAGGTTAAAATACTCTACGATGCATAGTTTTTCTGATATTGAGTAATAAAGCTAAAGATAAGGGTAGAAGCATACAAGATCTATAAAGGAAGATGTGGTAAATAAATCAAGATGCAACACAATAATAATAACACAAATCTGAAATCTGACACAAGGTGATCGATCAACTTCAGACAATTCAAAATCAAAATTGACGACAAAAAGAAGACTTTAACTTGAAAAATACTTTGTTTTCGCTGCAAATAAAAATCTCAAAAAATTGCACACTTAGCTTTGTTGGTCCTTAAATCGAGACAAATCAGGACATAAATGTCAAACAAGACAAGACAATAAAAACCTAAACMTGTCCTGGCTAAATCAGGACGTTGGTCCAGGCAGTTTGCAACCTGCGGCTGATCGAGCAAAACTCCACTGACGTCACCATATAGCCATCGTATACTTGCTCTTTAGTGTCTCTCATTCCAAGTTACCAGGCAACCTTCTTACTTTATAAATCTTGGTACAGTGATGGACAGTGAATTTCGTCCACCCAATTTCCCTAACAGATTAAAAGTGTAAACTAGTCTTTGTTTTCCTAACCTCGTTTCAGAATTTTGATTAACGTTTGTCATGTTGATAGAATGCTCGATGCTTCTTGCTACCATTGTCCTTTGAAATGGTAGTCCTTTTGGTAGGCCAAAGGTATAAAGACACGCCTTTGAGACATACCTTCTTGTACCAGAGAGATAATTTTTATTTTATTAAACTTACTGGCATGTTCGAATTTGATTAAAAATTTGACAATTCGTATTTGAATGTCAGTTATCATAACAATAAAGCACAGACTACAGTGAATTTTTATGAATTCACAGAAATTGGGTGGACGAAATTCACTGTCCATCACTGTACTTATCTTGTGGTAACAATTTAGATTTGCAAGATAATCGAGTGAATAGAAGAGGCAATGTTCCAAATTCGGCGTCAAAAACTGAAAGATCAATGGAATGTTTACTATGATTTTGTACCTAATATACAGAATGTCCCACGAGTAATAATGAGCCTGAAATTTTTTTGAAGCAACCAACATTACATTTCATAGATAACGTGGATATTAAAATGTTTCCTTTTAATTAGTTAAACATAGTAATTGTATTTTTACTTTTGATAAATTTCTATCAGTCAAAATGACTTTACACACATGCTTCATAAATGAGAATCTTGTTGGTCGTTTTGACAACATTTTAGTAATTCCCACCAAATTCTCCAAGGCTTGATATTTTATAAATTAAATTTGAAGTGCAAATTGGTCACTATGTTTAATTTATTAAAACTAAATATTTTAATATCCACGTTATCTTTGGAGTGTAATGTTGGTTGCTTCAAAATTTTTTTCAGGCTCATTATTATTCGTGGGACATCCTGTATTTTGAGTTGGTATCTAACGTATAATGTCTCGTATCGAACATATTAAGCGAACATAATACATGATGAAACGATAAAATATCTATTTTTATGTATGTACTCTATAATCCCAGAATTTTGGTAATATCGCTAGTGAAATTGGTATGAAGTGTTTTGTTAGTTGCATAGCTTAAACAAGCTAAACGTGGTCAAACTAACAAATAGTTCAAAAGTTCTTTTTATTATACATATTTTTGAGTTCGTTACTTTATAGCTATTACTACCGTGCGATCAAATAAAAACTAAATTAGAGTAGGCGTCGATTAAATTCTACAGTTGGCAACACATTGGCTGGAAATCTGGGCTGGAAATTTTCCACACAAACTGAAAGTGAAAATGACCATCCACCGTTTTCCTCCTGTACAGCAATAAAAAATTTCTGCTCTAAAGTGAAAATTATTTCACTCAAAAGGAATAAAAAGCAAACTTGGCAAAGTTTCCGCTGACATTTGATGTCAAAAATCAGGATTGCCATCTGAAGGACTTTAATCACCGCCTACTCTAATTTATTTTTTTTTGATCGCACGGTATAACGAGAATAATTAAGCGATTTATAATAATCGAGGACGATGCTAGGTGACGAGGCTAGCCGAGTTACCTGCGCATCGCCCGAGATGGTTTAAATCGCTAATATTCGAGTTATATTCAAAGCTTTATCGTATCATCTACTTACCTTGTGAAAACATTTTAGATTTGCAAGATAATCAAGTGAATAGGAGAGGCAATGTGTCAAATTCAGTGTCAAAAACTGAAAGATCAATGGTATGTTACTATGACTTTGTACCTAATATATTTTAAGTTGGTATCTAACGTATAATGTCTCGTATCGAACGTATTAAGCGAACATAATAGATCATGATACGATACACCAATTAATTTTCCTTCTACCAATTATTCTACATAATTATATTATGTAATCATTGATTTAATCATTGAATCTTATACAACATTGATAAAACAGTTTTATCGTAACATCATCTAATATGTATTAAGTTCGTTTAATACGTCCGATACGAGACATTTTATGTTAGATACAAACTCAAAATATATTAGGTACAGTCGAACAAAATGAAAATGACGCCTCAATAAACCAGCCCCTGCTGGAAGCCGATCCTTCTAACCGCAAGCAGGCAAGGTCGTAAATTATCGGATTGCAAACTTGACGTAGTTTCAAGATAAATTCCTTTAGGAGCCGATTTACAGAAAGCGAAATGAAAATTTAATTCAGAATGAAAAATTTAACAAACCATTTTTTAAAGAAAATTATGTATTAATAATGACATTGACAAAAAAACAAATCATTATCACTTAATTTTTTTTTAACTGTTTTTTCAAAATAAAATTAATTAACATAATGTTTGAACGAAATAGGCTTTTTCTATTT